GGGCCAGACAGCCACTACCCAAACAGTTCAGTGGAAGAAAAATTCTGTTCTGCATAAACTCCCAAGTATCCTGTGAGATTTTTTTTGGAGCACAGCTAAGCTTTAGAACATAAAGATGCACACAGAACATTCTCATTGATCTTTCTTTTCTTTTTCTTTTTCTTTTCTTGGTGGTGCTAAGGGTCAAACCCAGGGCCACGCATACAGTAGGCAAGTGCTCTACCACTCAGTGGCACCCCAAGCCCTCTCATTCATATTTCTTTCCTGGGCACAACCCTTAACATGTATGCATTGCTGCACTAGTTAGCATCCTGTCTCTTAAATAGATTCATTTAACAAGACTTTGTCTAATAAAGTCTAGAAAATCATCTTCAGGTGTGTGATCCTTTATACCACTGTTTTTACACAAGTGCATAGAAATACCTGCCTGCCAGAAGAGAGGACTTACTTTAAAAGGAGTAGGGTGGGGAGAGGCTCAGACTCAGGAGGAACAGTTTTAAAAGTCGATAAGGTGCATAGAACATATTTATCCCTGCTGTGGAGTTTGATCTATTAAAGATAGTAAACTGTCCATACTCAACTTGAAAAAGAATTTCAAACATTAATGATCTAAAGCAGCTTTTACTAGAAGGGAAAATGTGTAGCTTGGCCGATAACTTCAAAGATCTAGCTATCATCTGTGATATGGAGGATAATTATAAAAATTTTGCAAGATATTTATAAAATAAAACATAGTTTTAAATAAAAATTATTCAGAAGATTCTTCCTCTGTTTGGGGAAGGCTCAGTGAGTTTATGAAGGGGGCAGATTTCCTTTCAGACAGGAAGGAAGTCCTACTTTTAATGTCTCAATGTTATGAAAGATGGGATATAAAGCAAATGCTAGGACAAGTGTGTTTTCTTAGGGATATTCGTTGTTGATAAAATTGTAAAGATCATGGATTTCCCCACTTGTGAGGAACCCATATGTCCATAAACGAAGAACAGTTGGAAGGAAGAAACCTTTTTTCTTTCTTTTTTTTTTTTTTAAGTACAATCTCAGGGCTTAGGGATTCTTAAATCCACGAAAGCAGAAAGATTCAAGAGGAAATTAAAGCTATAGTGTTCGGCAAGTTGAGCCAGAAATGGCTGTTTTGAGTTTCATAAATCACACACAAAGAGAGAATTATTTACATGGAAGGAAAAATGGAAGTGAACTCGCACATTTGTGATTTAAAAGACGGTTCTGCGGTCCTTCAGAGCCATCCGGTCTCAACTGAAGTTAAAGGACATAGGCCTTACGCGAAAAGCAAACTCTTGGGCCCAAACAGAATAGGGAGTTTTGAGTTTCGGTGCAAGTGCTAACTTTGGTCAGGTTTCATAGGAGAACTGGAAAGCACCTAGCACTCTCTTGAGCCCAGTGATTACAGCCAGTTAACCCCATGAAAAGACAGCCCAGTGGCTCTTCTCTGGGGCAGCCTGGGATAATAGGACAAGCCTGCGGGGACCATCTAGCAGAAGGTCATCTCTCTCAAACCTGGATGAAGTAACTTGCTCTACAGGGGCCTAGAGAGCACCGGATGATGTTGAGCCCCCATATTCATTTCTCGAAGGATCCTCATCAGACCTGGATATTCCTCAGGGTACTAAGCACCTGGAAACCCCTATCCAAAGTGTCCAGTCTTTTCTATGGCTTTTTGCAACTGACAGAGAGGAAAACCACTCTGGTCACCTCTGTATATAGCTGACCTTATTCAATCCTATCCTGAGGCAAGAGGGTATGGCCAAGGACTGGTTGGATCAGGAATCTGCTTCCTACCTTCCAATGCAGCAGCTAATTCACCTCGTGGTGTTTCATATGTGAGGTTCCACCATTCTCCACCCTCTTGCTTTCTTGTCCACCATCCACATCCTTGGTTTCTGCTCCCTCTAAGCCCCCTGACGTCTCAAATCTCTATATTCTCAAAAACAGAATTCCCATTCTCCCTTCTGCCTGGAATCCTCTCTCTTCAGTGTTCTTTGGAATTTGCCTGCTCACCCTTTAAGAATAGTGAGCAGGCAGATCCTGGGTACCTTCTGTAAGCTCCTGCAGTATAGACCATGGCCAGCACTTGGTGCATGGTAGGTCCTGACCATAAGGGGTTTTCTTCAGAAGACACTGGATTCCTAAAGGGTGAGGCTGTGCGGCTGTCTTTCTTAGCTATTTAAAAGGGCTCATCCCAGCACTACCATACTGCAGGGGATCAGGAAGCGCTTTGTAGATGTGCATGTTCAGGAAGTCTGTATTTAGCTTCTGGCAGTTTTGACTCATGCATTCATCTGTTTCCTGCTGGCCACTGAAATGCCAACTGTTTGCCCTTGCAGCAATCCTTGTTAACTCCAATGATATTCATGTAACAATTCCTGAGCATCCTAAATAACCAAGGTAGATGAAAGGGATAAAAAGAATCATTCATTCCTGCGACAAACAAATAGTAAATGCAACTTTTATTGTTCAATGTGACAAATACAGTATAAAGGGGCTTCTCTTGTGAGGCTTATGTCTAGGGTTGGGTGGAGTGGATATCCCCCTAAAGTGGGCTGGATAATATTAGAGGTGGTCCATCATCTTGGGGATGCATCAGTAGGTCCACCTTAACATTTACCTCTGTCATGTAGAAGAGGAACCCTCTTCTCTGCCCTGTACCTGATACATGTATGTGGAACCCCAGGCAGCAAGTTCAAGGTTGATTCACTTGGGTCTTTTGCCTTAAATTAGTGGATCTTGGGAGAAGGCCTGCAAAGACCTTGGCAACAAGCTCAGGTTGTCTGGGTAGAGAATTCTAGGGTTTTGTGCACTTGGAATGGGGTTTTGAAGGGATAGGCACCAACACTGGCCCATAGAGTCCTTGAACTGTGGATGCTAAAGTGCAGGGACTGGCATGGGGGCTAATAACATCATTAAATATCAAGGATGACAAAATCCTTTGCAAGCTGATGTCCACTCTTGTAAGAATGCATCTAAGGGCAATATTACCCACCATTGCACATTTCTGCTTTCATGCCAGTTCTAGAAATGCACTCCCCCAAAAGACAGTAGAGGCCTTACTGGGTATCCTGGGCTCATGAAGAGCAAAGGAAAAATTTACCCTTGACGCTTAGTTGGGGAGGTGGAGGTGGAGAAAGGGCACTGCCAGCTGCAGGCCACAGCCCCACTTTGGGCTGAGAATGGAAATCTCATGTCTCAGATGTTGAGGTGGCAGGGTGCTAATGGCTACTGGAAAATTCTGATCCTACTTAGCGCCTGGGCCTTCTCAGGCTCATGACAGGGGAGCCTCTGTGGTGCCAAAGCTGGCATCTGTATTAATTGCTTGATGCACAAGACTCCCTGGAAGGGCAGGGAGGGCTGGGAGGGCTCCAAATTTCTTATTCATTTGGTATTTTTAGAGGACAAACCTGTTAAAAGGAGACATGCCTTCCTCCCTGCAGTGGGGGGTGGGGAAAGAGTTGAATGTTTATTGCTTCCATCAAGAAAGGATTAGGTTCAGGGTGGCTCATGGATCCAGATCTCTCTTGTCAGAAGTCACACACAAAGCATAGATAGTAGAAGTGGGCTTCGAACTCATGTCTAACCTGACTCCAGAGCCCAGGGTATGCCTACCAACCATCTCCCCATGTGTATTGAAAACTAAGTTCTCTGTCCTCTCCTTTGGGTCATGGTCGTCTGGGAGTGCAATGAGTATGTCAGAAATGATGCCATGTCAGATTTGACTTCCAAAGTCAAATCACAAAAGGCCACAAAGTAACCTCTTCTCTCTGAGCTGCCAGCTGACACATGGAAGTCTGACTTCCATGATGCAAGAGGTTTGGGAGCATCATGCATCATGGTGAAGAAATCATCATGCTGGAGAAATCACATGAAGGAGTTCTGGTTCATGGTCCCAGATGAGCCAGTCCTTTAGCCAGTCCTACACTAGGCACCAGACATGGCAGCGGAGAAGTCTATTGGAAGGGAATCCTCTAGAACCAGTGGCTCCAGCCCCATCCAAGGTCCCAGATTACACTGAGCAGCATCCTCTTCATGCCCTTTCAGAATGATTGACACCAAGAACTCATAAGCAAAACAAAATAGTGACTGGATGTGTCACTAAATTGGGGGAATTTATTTAATAGCAGGAATAACCAGAATGGAATTGCAAGAGAGACTGAACACCATAGGAATGGAAAACAATCATGTATCTAGACCGGACTTTGGTTGGAGCTTTCTGATTCTGCAGCCACTCCTTAGACAAATCTTCACATGCACGTGTGCGCACACACACACACACACACACACACACACACACACACACACACAAATCCTGCCCAAACTCTCCAAATGAGGACAAGGTAATGAAAGCCCTTAGATCCAGTAGGTCTGTTGAGAAAGATGCTGAAATAATGATAAACATACAAGTCCAGAAGGGAAAAACAAGTTATTTTTGATCACCTACTATTTTCCAGATGCTGTTCTAGTTATAATCATGTTTAATTCACGAATTTAGCGAATTTTTTTATCCCCACTATGTGTCAACAATGGGTGTGGGAATGAGACCAAGTACTAAACAAAGTCCCTCTTCTCATAGTGCTTATATGTGAGATCAACAGACAAAAAGCAAATAACTATCTAATGGCAGGTCACATGGAGAAAAATAAGGCATGGTAAGCAGAAATACTGAGGTACATTAGACAGGCTGATTAGGAAAGGGCTCCCCAGGAGGATGGTGTGTGAGCAGGGAGAGAATCAAGCTAACATGGGAGAGCAACTGTCTGTTTGACTTCAGAGTCCACACTTGGGCACTAACCTGAAGGAATAAATATAGACAGGTGTCTTTCAGCATATAAACCTGTGATCTTTGAAAGATGTTGCATTTAGACATGGCTCAATACAGGACTCAGAGGCCTCCCACCAGGAGGGAGGGAGACTCCTGTATAGGCACCTCAGCCACCCACCTACCTCCTGCCCTCTGAACCCTCAGGCAGAGGCAAAAGAAGGGTACTTACACAGAGCACATGGAGGACCACCGCTCCTTGTCTTCTGTCCTCGTTAGTGAAGATGTCATTGGGGAATTCATGCAGGGCTAAAGAAGAGAGAAAAAACCAGCTCAGTATAGATGCCAACATTTTCAGGGCTGGAGGGTTGGAACATTGTTACCAACTCTGGTTTTAGAGTCCTAGTGTTAATATGGGGTTCATGATCTTGAATGAGAAAAAACTTTGCATCTTTAATTTAAAACTTTATAGAATTTAGTGTTTTCTTCAAATAAGAAGGGGAGTGACAAACCACAGTAGCATTAGAAAAACCTGAGGCCTGAATCCTAGTAGAAATTTTCATATTACCATTGTTCCTTGGTATTCATGTAGGACCTCAGGGGGATAACAAAATCTGTGCATCCTTAAGTCCTTTATATAAAATGGCATAATGTTTGCCTAGAACCCGCACACATTCTCTCATATACTAAATCATACCTAATACATTGTAAATGCTATGCAAATAGTTGCCACACTGTGTTGTTTATGGAATAATGACAAGGAACAAAAGTCTGTACATGTTCAATACAACATACAATTTGAAAAATATATTTTCAATGATTGGTTGAATCCATGGATGTAGAACCCATGGATATGGAGGGCCAACTGTATTATTTATTATATCCATGTAGCTCTTGCTCATCATTTCAGTGCTATGGTGGTCTGTAGATTACCGCTTATGACTTAAAGTTTAACAAGGAAGCATGTGAACTACTGTCTTGCAAATCTGTTTTCTAATATTTTGACAATTTCATCTCAACATGATCAGATTCCATTTGTAACTGTATGTACTTTATTGCATGCAATAAAAAACATTTTTTTTTTCTGAGCAGGGCTTGTAGGCTTCACTAAGTGACCAAAGGAGTCTGTGGCATGGGCAGGTTAAAGGTCCTGTTCTAAGTTGTTCATTTTCCTCTGTTCCTCCTCTCCTTGCCATGGCTTAAGACTGTGGGCTGTGACTATTAAAACTCCCAGCCTGCTCTGTCAGTCTGCTCCTCTTTCAGACTCAACCCATATTGGCCATGGAACTGGGATATCCATCACAGGGTTGGCCAGGCCCCTCCTTGCTCCCAAACCTCCTGTGCCATGGCATCTAAGCCTGAGTTTGTGAATTGGTGGCTCCAAGTGGGTTCTGACCATTTCCCACTGGAGATTTCTTCCCCCCTCTTCTTCATGCTTTGCAAGTGTCCATTCATTAACTACTCACTGAGCATTTACTGTGCTTGTTATTGGAGCTGGGCAGTGAGCACTGGGTTGTTCTCATATCTCACCAGATAGGATCATGTGCCATTTCCTGAATATACCTTGTACTTTGTTCTTTCTGTATCTTTATTTGTCTATTGAAACACACAAGCATCAGCCCTCACTCCTAACTGTGCTCCCTGTCATAAAATCCAATCAACCTTCATGGCCAAGTTCTCACATCACCACTCCTTTATGAAACTTCCTGTCATCCCTCCAATAGGAAGCCATTGTTCCCTCTCTGGATGATGTGTCAGGCCAGGTGCTAAAAGAAGCAGCACATGCCACACCCTGACTTCAGCCCCATCTTCAGCAAACACCCCCAGCCAATGGAAGGAATCTTTCCTTCAGAGCTCAGTAATGTCCTTGGTCTTTCTCTGGCAAGTACTCAAAGAAACCATCACCAGTGTATGGGGAAGATGCATAAGATGACTTTGACTCCACAGTGCACTGTGATTGAAGGAGATGATAAGACCAGGGAGGGAGAAATGTCAAAAGTAGTGGTGCTGAAGGGTGTGTAGATGACTACAGGACCCCAACCCTGCTGGGGATCCCAGAAGATTACAGACCACATGCCACAGGATTGTGGCTCATTGGCCAGGGGTTTGTCTGAGACACAAGGTATTTGGGGCAGAGTGAACCCCTAGATCAAGATTATCTAATGTACAACAAGGAGACTGGAGTTAAGAATACTGATTTTATACTTGAAATTTGCCAAGAAAGATATATCTTAAATCTTTTCAAAACCCTCTCCTCTTTCTCTTTCTTTCACACACACAACAAGCATGTAGAAGTGATGGATATGTTAATGATCTTGGAATATAGTGATCATTTCATAATTTACAGTCCCCAAATTACCATGGTTTATAATTTTTCAGTTTTACAATGGTGCAAAAGCTTTACCTATCCAGTAGAAACCATACTTTGACTTTTGAATTTTGATCTTTTCCCAGACTAGTGATATATAGTACAATGCTCTCTGGCGATGTCTAACTGAGGGTTAATATCAGCATATTTAAGGCAGACTAGTGTAAGCTACGATGCTTGGTAGATTAGGTATGTAAAACATAAAGCATAGTTTCAATTAAGAATATTTTCAGGGTTTGATGAGTTTTTGGAATGTAACTCCATTGTAAATTCAAGAGCATCTGTATATCAAAAGACCATAAGCACATATAATTTTCATCATCAATGTTAACTCAATAGGACCATTTTAACAAAAAATCAAGGCTCACCTGTGTCTAGTTAATCACACGAGCTAGTTTTGTCTGATCTTTGAGATGTTGAAAGGGGGAGGATAAGGAACAAAAGGCATGCTGTGATCACCCCGAGTTTTCCTAAGTGAAAGCTGTTGTAAATATATGCTGTACAGAATTCTCCAGGTCAATGGATAGGGGAAAATGAGAGGAAGCCTGGAGGACTTCACCTTAGCAACCGCACAAAACTACATCTGAAAATGACTACAAGGGGGTGAGGGTCCACAGAAAAAGTTGAAATTCATGTGCAAGGATCCCAGACATTTTATTGCAATGTCCAAGTCTAATCCTTTTTCTCTGCAGGTCTACTGCCCTGGCCCCTTGCCAGGTTGAGCAGAGCTGGAGAAAGCTCCCCAGCCCTCCCTGAGGAGGAAGCCCTCTAGTTCCTAAAACCTCCCTGCTCATGATGCTGTCCACAAGGGGCTTCTTTGGAGCCTTTTAGTCATCTTTCTTTCCCCCTCTTCTTCCTCTCTGTCTACTCACAGAATCTCTTACATTCTTGAGATGCCACTCAAGCTTTATCCTTTAACTTTCACTTTGAAGTCCCCTTAGGCAAATGAGTTTTAGCACCAATAACCACCTGGTGGTTCCCACATCTCCTCTCCCTCTCCCAAAAGTCCAGACTGGATCATAAACTGTGAGAAATGTTCTTTTATTCCCATTTTTTTCAAACTCAGTAGACTAGAAGAGGAAAAGCCCTTTCAGAGCAGCTATGTTCCACTCCTTTGGGACTGGTGCCTCCAATCCAGACTTTTCCAGGAAGGCGACTGGCTTCCATGCTTCCTGGCTTTGCCTAGAGTTTGCATCCCAATTTTTGGTCCTGAAGAGGTGACACCCAATGTCCACAATTTTGCAGCTTTTTTCCTGAGGCTTTTTATATAAATTCTCAGTAATATCGGGAGCCAAGGTTAAGCCTAGGTTGGCTGGTGATGGACCTAAAATGTTTGAGAAAATGACCCTGGGCAGGGAAGCCATTGGACTGATATCAAAACTAGGCAAAAATGACAACAGTGCACTTTTATTGAGCACCTGTTCCTGGAAGGCACTGAGTCTTGTACTGTGCCTCTACTATCCGTTTTTACCCCCACATGAGGATTTCACATGAAGATTTCAAAAGACAAGAAGATTATGCAGCACACTTGAAGTTCCATAGCTAGAAGCCTGCAGAGAAGGGCCAGAAAATCCAGGGCAGTGACTGCCCCTAACGTTGTCATCCCATCCCCTTGCACCAACTTGTAATCACGCTCTACCCAGTGACCTCTTCTTTTTCATGACTTCCTCCAAAAAGAGGATCTGAGCTGGTCTAAATTCTGCTGCCACACCACCAGAGAGAAACAGATAGGCTGATTTTTCTTTGCATTTCTCAGTTGTCATTGCCACAGGATTTTTTCAGCATTGGCTCATTCCAGGATTCAGATGTAACCACTCTTATTGTCTTCCCACCCTGCGAGCTGAAGGTGGATAATAGGATACCAAGTTAATTTATTGATCACAATTGCTATCACATAGATAAAAAGCCAGTTGTCTTCCCTGGGAGAGTGCCAACCCAACAAATAACACATGAGAACTGCCTAGGAGAGGTCCCTAATCATTTGGGGAACAGAGAAGGATACAGAGGTGAGGATTGAGATATGTTTTGTCACAAATATGTGGCAGCCAGCTATTGCTCTACTTCCTGCCTAGTTGGCTTTCCTACTTGAGGAGTAAAGTAGCTTTAAGCAACAACGGTCCAAGGGCAGTATATGAAGAGAGCTAAGTCAACACATGAGCATTGACCGATGCTGTGAGACAGGAGGCCGAGGGCATGAGCCTGCAGCCACAGTGTGTCCACACCATCAACAGCTCGACCCTCCCTCCTCACTGCCACCTCATCCATGCAGTAACCCAGGCAGTGTAGTGGTTCTACCCAGAGATCCATGTCAGGAAATAAGAACGCTGGTTTTGAATCCAGGCATTTTGATTTGAAACCCCCTTGATACTCCACAAACAACAAGTGGGTTAAATAAAAGTTGACTGAAGACATGGATTCCACTGGCTTTGCCTTTTAGTAGGAGAAGGGCCTTGCCAGGGATCTCTATGCCCAGCCAACACATGGGTAACCTTGGGACTCTTAGGCAAGACCAGGATGCACCTTGGAGGGGGCAGGACCCAAAGGACCTAATGCTGGCTCTGAAATGTCTACTGAAGAGCCATCCAAGGTCCTGGCCAAGCAGGAGGGAGCTGAGACCATAGAAATGTAACCAGGATCCTCCTTATCTTGATATTCAGGGACCCTCCTTTCTCTCTATTCCAGGAATTAAGCATCTTGGTAGGAACCTGATCTTATTGTGCCCTCCAGATCTTGATCTGATCCATCACTAGGTGAATGCTACTGGCCCTGGTGAAAGACAACTTCCCCAACAGAAGTGATGGCTGGTCATGAAAAAACGTATAAAAGTTCTCTATGAGGTGATGCCAGCCACTTCCCGGGTGCAGCTCACACCACAGTCTATTAGTGGAGCAGTTGGCACCATGTGGCTTCCTTGCAAATTTTATGTGGCTGGTCCATGGCTGAGATAAAGGTAGGGAATGTGCAGTGGAGAAAGGCAGAGAAGAGCTAAAGCAATCCTATTGAAGCAATCATTCTGCTTCAAGAATGACAAGAATTCCTATTTGATAGTTAACAACAAGGTAGAAAGAATGACCAGGTTAAATATTCCCCTGGAAAGCTTCACCTCATATAGATCATACATACCCTGACTGCTTTTTCATCATAGTCCCCTCTAAGCAAGTATACATAAGGATGATGATGAAATTGTAACAATAGGTTCAAAGTACTTGCGTGCAACTTGCAAAGAATATTGTCCTCTCTCATCCCAGTTTGACTTTTGTGCCCTCAGTTGGGAATCTGCAGATGTACAGCTCAATTCTATAACTTCCCACAAGTAGGGCCTTTGGTGACATGTCACTGCATCTCTCTGGGCCTCAAATTATACACTGACCATCTGCTCTCTGGGCCTCAAATTATCCACTGACCATCCTCCTCACTGCTCCAAGTAGTACTACATGGGATGATGTAGTATACACAACAAGCACCTAAAAAGTGTGGGATGAAGAACTCTGAAGATAGCAGCTCCTGAGGTGTAGGGATGGAGTAAGCCAGTTTTGTCCAGCTGGCTCCATGGTTCAGGAGAAAGTTGATAGCATCAGCTGAGATTGCTTTTAAGAGACCAGGCAAATTCTGGGGTACAGGTGACACACTTTGGTACCTTGCACATGCACATAGGAAATGATGTATTTTAATTAGCTGCAGCTATCTGAAAGGCATATATGAAGACAGGGTGGCACACTGGATTGAAAGGCTCTGCCAGTGCTTCTTGAACTTGGTTCCTTTGTCTACAAAACAGGAGGTTAAACAGTGTGAGGCCTCCAGTGCTTCCTGCAGAGCTAATGGCTAGTGTTGATGTCACCCTGCTTAAGTGTGTTTCCTCATCTCTTAGAGCTGGAATAAGAGTGTTCACTGACATTTCCATTGGGTTGTATTTTGCATAAGCACCTGCAGTGGGGAATAAGAGCCCTGTCCAGATGACCCCCAATACTATGCAGAGCCCCATTTCCAACTGTAGATGGATGTGTCGATGTCATTCTTGTGGAGTTTTTATGAAGTTTGTAGACAAGGTATATGAAATACCTACCATTCATGTTTCCTGGAGTTACCTGTCATTATTCCTAATTATAACAATAACAAAATCCTGATCTGGCACATTCCTCTCTGGTCTTGGTGTCGAAATCCACCTATTGCCAATCTTTGCCTGGCTTGCATTGGTATCTTTTTCCACAGGATGGTGTTTAGTCCATAGGAGTTGGGTGAATATATGTGCTTCCTATTGGAACCACACAGCCTATGTGGCATGCTGGGAACGGTTACGTATGCAGGGAAAATGGAGCAGCCTTGTTCAGCTGAGATTTCCCCCAAATACCTTCAAAGTCTGCAAAGTCTCTTTCTGTTCCTCTTTTTCTCCTCCCCAATTTTCCTTCCAGTATATCCTGCCAAACCTGGGGGCCAGCAACAGCATTAGTGCTGTTCCCATGGAAACCACAAAGCCCCGAATGGAGTGAATCCCCCTTTCCAAGGCAACAGCAATCAGTGTCCCTGCTTCCCTTCTGTCTCCTGGCTGTGTTCATGAGGCCCGAGTTTGAAGAGTCTAAACAGAGGTTTGCAGAGAGATGAAAAGTGTTCATGTCATGTTAATCACATATTGATCAAGGAGCACCCCAGGGTAGGGATGAACACATCCGAAAGAGACTAGATCCTTCAACATGTCGAAGCAGAAGGAATCCAGGATGCTGTAGCCATCAGAACATCAGGCCCTCATCTCAGCATCTTTCTTAGGAAAAAATACCTAATGTAACTTGATGGACTGATCTTCTAAGATTGCTCCCCAAAGTGAGGGTCTTAATGTTGTCCGACTCTTCCCTGCAGCAATGGGTTACTTCACCCTATTGTTTGAGACACTTTCATTTGTCAGTGCTCCTCCCACCCCACCCCTCCTCACCCCTGTAAAACCTGCTGCTCCTACTTTCCCTGGCTGGAACATTCTGAACTCTGCCAGGTATCTTATTTACCTGGTCTCCCACAGAGCCTTCTCTGACTCTATTTGTGCCCCTATTGTACTGTGCAGGCACCCATCAAATGATTTCACAATCACATTGCTTACCCATATGTATTTTAGATCCAGGGACACTATGAGCTCCTGAGGACAGGAACACTGTCATTTTTTTCTCTATTGCCAGCAGCTACCAGGCAGGGATCCATGAAAGTGACATAAATGTCAAGCGAATACAAATGTAAATGAACACAGAGGGCCTTTTTTTTCAAGAGGTGGTTTTTGTATAAACACAAGACAAAATTAGCTGATAAATGATGCTGGGAGGCTCATTTCAGTAAAACTTCCTATAACTTGATCCCAACTCCAGTGTCCATTAGCATTGCTCACAAATATCCCATTTATTTTTGTTCCAGAGACTTGGAAGAAATACTTTCTACAACTCATCAAAGGTTAGGTGGGACCATGAAGCTAATTTTTTTAGTGAAATGTGACCAAAATGAAATGGATCACATCTGGCTTTGAAAGCTAGTGTCTATATCACCATCTTGTATTTTATTGTCTCAATATTCTTGAAACATAAATCAGGAGGAATCTCCTATCAGCCTGGGACCTTGAGTGACATGGCAGAATCCTCACTCCCTTGATACATTTTATACATGCAGCATGAATAAAATGCATCATTTTATTCTTTGAAGCCACTGAGATTTGGTGGCTGTTTGTTATACAGCATATCCTAGCCTGTACTGTGTAATGGTATAATGTGGTCCTTGGCATCCCTACAGTCTTTGGCACATTAGAACTTGCCTTGTACCAAATTTTGGTTGTTTCTGCCTCTCCACTAGACAGAAGGAGGGGGATTAAGGTTATAGGATGTTTATTCTTCCCTGTCTTCCCAGTGCCTAGCAAAATGTGCATTTCAGAAATTAACAGATTTTTCATCACTGAGATCCCTTTAGGAATACTAGCCATAAAAAAACTTGTGTAAAAGTATATATAGGTTGAGCAATCCTTATTCAAAATGTTTAGATCAGAAAAGTTTCAGATTTTGGATTATTTTTGGACTTTGGCAAGTTTGCCTCCACAAAATGAGATATTTTAGGATTGGGATCCAAGTCTAAACACAAAGTTAATTTATATTTCATGTGTACCTTAGACACATAGCCTGAATGTAATTTCATCCAGCATTTGAAATAATTTTGTGCATAAAGCAAAGTTACATAGTATGGAGATTTCCACTTGTGGTGTCATGACAGAATTTAGAAAGTTTCAGGTATAGGAACATTTCTGATTTTGGATTAGGAATGTTCAACCTGCATATGCACAATTTAATTGGTTAGTTTCTGGAACTGTTTTAGAGATATCCCTGCGTATTCTTACACTCAGAGAGGTTAAGCAAGCCTTTGAAATGCAATGAGAATTAGGCAAAGGGAGGATGCTGGGGTTCCAGGGATCTGCTGCTCTGAGATATTTTTGTTTTTGTTTTTCATGTGTGGTTACAGGGATTGAACCCAGGGGGTGTCCAGCTATATCTCTATACTTTTTTATTTTGAAACAGGGTCTCACTAAGTTGCCTAGACTGTTCTCTAATTTATAATCCTCCTGCCTCAGCCTCCTGAGTCACTGGGATTGCAGGCATGTGCTACTATACCTGACTGAGATGATCTTTTGCATTTGTATCTGGTTCTAAGGATCATGTCTTAATTATTTTTTAAAAATATAAATAAATCAATACAGTGCCAAAATTACACATATTTAATCAGTTCTTACCATTGCTGGTTACCACACTCAACCTAGTATGGAAAGACCAAGAATGCATAGTCCTTGTCATTGAGGAATTAACAGTTGGAGGAAAGTTAAATTGGGGGCAACTCTGTAAAATCATTCCAGTAATTTCAGTACCCTGAATTTAAGGGCAGAACTAACTTTTATCGAGCATGCAACTATATATTTCTCACTTCTTCATTGCTTCAACTTGATAAAAAAGTACTACCCCCAATTTACAAATAAGTAATCTGAGACCCAAAGAAGTTAAATAACTAACCCAAGTCCTCAAAGATGTTAATGGAGGAGATCAAGGTGGGATTTGACTTTTTAGTATATTTATTTCACTATACAAAAAGGTCAAACTGACCATTTTTCTTTGACTTTTAGCATAAGTTCTTCCCTTAAAAATACAGACAAGTTTCAAATTCAATTGGACTGATGAATGAGTAGAAGCAAGATCATGAAAAGTATCTCTGTGAAGGAGGATCAACCACAGGTACTGGTAGAGAAGAGCCACAACACAGAGTTCTTTAAAAATCAAAAACCTACTGCCAATCCAATTTGTTAAGGAAAGGTGGATCAGTCAGTGCTCATGATGTGACATTTGTTTACTACTGGCCACCAGATTTTTGAAGAGCATAAAGACCTGGATTTGAATTCTTCCTTCACTACTCTGTGGCATTGGAAAAATACCCAAACTTTTTTGAGTCCTAGTTTCAGAATATGCAAAATGGGAGAATAAAACAATACCAGATTTTATGGTGATTATGAGATTTAATTTTGAAGAAGCTTATGAAATATGCAGAACCTAGAATTGGGTAAGAAATTATCAAATGTTAGCTCTTTCTGACTTTAATAAATATTGGAGAGGGAGAAATATGGACAAGGTGTGTTTCCTGTCTTTCCCACAGTGCTGGGGCCCCACCACTTTCATATTAGGCATTCACCAGCACTTACATTTTTTTTTTTTTGCCTAATGTTTTTTTTTTTCCAAACCTAAGAAAGAATGCATTGCCCAGATATTGCAGTCTGGATATGCTGAAGAGTTCACACCCCTCTTTCCCCCCAGAAGAAGGCTTCAATCAAAGAAGGTGGTTGTACAAATACCCCAGCTCCCTCACTACTTGGATGAGACCACTCCGACATGTGTTCTACACTGTTCCCCACAGAATGAAGTTGTTCACCGTGATAACTGACTTTATAACATGCTCTGATTGGCTGCCTTCCCTTCCCTGTTTCATGATCTCACTTCTTAATGCCTCTATCTAGGATCATCTCCCAAACTACTTGTACTTGAGTCTGCCTCAGGATCTACTTCTTGAAAACCCATATTGAAACAAAGGGAACTAGGAATTTTTGCATTTCTACACCTTTCCATTTCAACAAAAGTTAATTTTTTCAGCAAAGGATTCATTCATATCCTGGTAAATTCCCCCCCCCCGCAACATAGCATAGTCTCATTGGGCAATTTTCCGTGAATTTACTTCCATGCATTCATATAGAAGAGATTCATCTTGAAATCTAGATAGCATTATGGAATCACCTGACTCCTGAATGAGGAATTTGGGAAGCCACCTTTGCTGCTTTTTCATGGTGCTGAAGTTGATCCAACACCCATGAGAAGATCCTTGTTTTCTACAATAATGTTCTTTCTTTTGCTCATGTCTCCATTGGCAGGAGATTTTAAACAATCATTCCACGAGCTTTTCTCCTGGAAGGGAACAAGCATTCTTTGGAACTAAAGAAACTTGATCATTAGTTACATAGACGTTTGGCCTGGCAGAGCACTGACATGTAATTTGATGAACTAAAAACATATTTTTATCAATAATTAAAAAAATAAAAAAACCTCACAGATCAGTGCTGCTAATCTCTCTGAGCCACAGCTACTGTAGAAAATCCTGTGATCTCACGAGTAAGATACCATTTGCAGGTTACAAATATGGCAGCAGACAGGAAGACTATTTTCAGCCTACAACTTGGATGTGTTGCTTGTGGAATTATCAAGGCTGTGTCAGTAATGAATCCTCATTAAAGAAAATAAAATATCTATGGTAAATATTGCTATGGTTTTCAGAACTTTACGCCCATTTTGGGCCTCCTTTGTCCCTCAAACTGTCCTTTGGTGGCAGTGTCAGAGAGAATGTTTGAATGGATGACTTTAGGGTCGGATCAGGGTGTTGCATCTTTCATGTTCTTATGTCTGCTTATTGATTCAGGGAAATCCGGAGCAACAAGCTGAGGTACATAGGAATGCACTTATTCTTTAAGAGGACATACAATGGTTAAAAAGCCTGCCCATTCCCTCATTACCCTTGGAAAGGATGAGACTGCACAAATAATGTTTCTTTGAAAAAAATGTGCTTAAATTAGTTCTTTTTGAATGCAGTCATTCCCTAGAGGTATCTATATTCAACATTTTTATTTCTTTAAGGCATTTATTTTATAAAAGATGAGGGGACCAAGCTAAATGGCTATATGTTTCAAAATCAGTGATTTTTTAAAATGTTAAATCACCAAATCTCAAAATTAAAACTAACCTTTAGTATTCTATTGCTCTATAGATGGGAGGGTAATAATAGAAAGATCTTTCCCTCTACCTCTTTTTAAAACCTGTTATTCTTTCCCCATTTTATTCTTTGATGGTCAATTTGGGGGATGGGAAATAGGTCTTATCTCCTGTGTTCAGTAAGCAACTGGTAATGACAGTTGACTCTATATTGCAAGAGCATCTTGATCTATTAACAATGTTTTCTATGGTTTATAAGATTAGGAATGGAGATGTATGTTCCTTATTTCTCTACACTGAAGCTTTGCTGACAAAGTCTACAATGCAAGAATGGCACTCCTTTGTCCTACTACTAGTGATCTCCACCATCATTTTCTTTCAACTCTATTTCAGATAGAATATAATCCACTTAAAAGGAGAAGAAAATATTAAAAGTGTTCCAATACAATTCTCCAAATATACCAAATACATTAAAGCTGATATATTAGGTTACTGTGATAAAATATGAGGTTGGGATCTAGTCTATAATAATAAAATTACATATCTAAGAAAAGTCATAGCTAGTTGTAAGAAGACAAAAATTGGTTGATTTAGATGGCAAAATACAAGCTGTGCTATTCCTCAACTTTTAACTTGGCCACACCTAAACCTTTCCTTGAGGGAAAAATACAGATATTACCTGCAATAAATCCTTTGTCTTTTTATGTTACCATGTATTGGACATCTTTCAATCATTTGCCTATAGTATTAGATCAAAGCACCAAAGAATCTACCAATTACACTTGTAATTCTTTTAAGGGTTGAAAATGAACTCAAGACTTTTTTATTATATAACTAATTTCCAAATATCATGAATCCATCTTTTAGAAAAAAAATCTGTCACTGCATATAAATAGATATTAAGAGAGAGTCATAATTATTTCAAACAAGAAAGTAATTCCCTTATTTATTTTTCCCATTGATGATGATGACATTTATTATAGCTTTGAATGAAACAGATAAAGTGCCTTTTGCTATGACAATGTACTCTGGTCTCCAACTAGGCTTTTAGGGTATAGAAAAAGAGTATCATCTGATAATAAGGGAGATATCTTAGGAAGGTCACTCTGCTGTTTTATAGTTATTAGAGAAGAGTGGTCACAGTTTGTAGTAGGCAAGAACCCAGTCAGAGGATTTAGAATCTACCTGATGTGAGTCCAGCAATTTTTGATTATGTAGTTTACCTCATGAATGATGCTTTGAGGAGACTCTGGATTCTGTTGTCTTCCTATGAAGAGTGCTGAATTTTTGTTCTAAAAAGAAATTGAATTACTGCAGGGTTGGCTTTTGTGGTGGCTTCAGACTTTACTCTGATAAACTTTTTTGACTGTGCCTTTAGTCTTGGAAAGTTGTCTTTGTAGAATTTTAATGAAAAGGCTAAACTATTAAATCAGGCCCACTTAACTTTGGGAACTTGAACTCATAACATTTTTGTCACCTCCGTCATTCAGTCTTTCAACTGTTGTTTTCCATAAGCTGCTTGGAGACTTCCCCAAGGGTGTCCAGTCCAGAGGTCAGTCAGTATTTGAGGGGAGTTTATAAGTACATATCAAGGCTTTTCCTCTGTTTCCCTTTCCTTTCTGATATTTCCTCCAATCTTTAATTAATTCAGGAGCTTCAAACTTAATCTCTGATGCCTTAACTCAGTAAGACTGCTGCATTTTGTTGAGCTCGATCCTCCACACCCTGCGCACACTGTGGAGTTTCCCAAGGGGAAAAGCCAAAGATGTCCCCCTCCCTCAGTGTGATTTCCTTCTTTCAGTTCATATTTCCTCTGGTCTTTGCTCATCTTATTCATTTTCCAGAATTTTTTAGATTTTGTCCTGAGTTACAATTGTTCCTGTGGGAATGTTGTTATGGCTTAGATATGTAACATCTCCCCAAAGATTCATGTGTTGAAGATTTTTGTCCCCAATATTCAGAGGGGGGATTTGGGGACATGGTTGGATCATGAGGTCTCTGATCTCACCAACTAGTCAACTGAGGGGTTCATTATTGAGTAGACTTATTGTGAGGTTGTAGATACATAAAAGTTGGGACCTAGTTGAAATAGTTGAAGGGAATAGGCCTTTGGGGGCATGCTTCCGGGGACTATATCTTGTCCCTTTGGTCTTTTTCTTTCTCTGTTTCCTGGCCGTCAGGAGGTGAGCAGCTTTGCTCTATCATACCCTCCTTGCCATGATGTTTTGCTTCATCACGAGCCCATAGCAAGAAGTCAGCTGACCATGGATTGAAACCATGAGCCAAAAGAAATATTTTCTACTTCAAGTAGAATTTCTCAGGTATTTTTTTCATTGCAATAAAAATAGGACTAGCACACATGTTAACCCACTATAATTTACTTCGCCAGAACTGGAAGCCCAAAGTCAGATTATATTCTTCATTGTAACATGCTGTATATAAATTCACAGTACTAAATTCACATAGAGATTCCCAAAACTTGCTATCAGCCACATCAAGTCCTCCATAGAACTAATGCAGCCTGGCCAAAACTATATGTCTCAGTGGTAAATAAGGACCTAGGGAAAATACATTTTTGCTGGGATAGGTTGGCAAGATATGATGAAGGCCTCAGAGGTAAACTAATTTCATACTAACTTGTATGAATAAACTAAGGATTAGAGAGAAGGAGCTTTCAGCACAGCAGGAAGTTACAAGAAGAGATCCTACAGCATTTCAAAGCCCTCAGCTATAAATATTTCAAGGTCAAGTCATTCCAAACAAGCATCTGTGGCAGTTCTGATGTCTCTGACAGGTGACACCCCAAGGCTCAGAGGCCAGAATACACACTCAAAGGCAAAATGACATTGGAAACCAGTTACAGTCAAGGCAGTGAAATTGCGTTCTTCTTTCTTTTGGAATCTGGAGGATCTCTTACGTGTCTCCCGTATGTGTCAGAGTTTTGATGTCTCACGTAAAGTTGGCAAATTGAAATTCACAGCAATAGAAAGTAGGTGTTTAATATATGATTTTCAAGCCCAGACAGATTTGTGAAGCTTTACAAGAAGGAAATAAAGAAAGGCAGCGAACAACATTTTTGACCAAGTCTGGCCGTTACATAAAGCATATAAAAGTATTAATGCTTAATTTTTTAAAAAGCATAAAAGGAAACTTCTGCCTCATTCTTGAGTTAGTTGAGACCAAGATTAAAAAAAAAATACCACAATTTGTGTTCAAGGAAAGAGAAAAAAAAAACTAACATGGAGTAGGAGGAGAAAAATTTCACATTATTCCTAAATCAGAGAATACCTCTCCCCTGGCAAGGAAATGACCTGTGGTCCCCCTAAGAACTCAGGAGTTTGGGTTGTCAGCTATCTTTGTGTCCTATGCAATCACAGTTCATTGTAGAGTTGGCTGTAGTTTAAAACAGACTAAAAGAAATCCTTAAGATTACCAACATAATTATTTTGAGACAAAATAATGCAGAGGCAGTAACAGCAACAAAATCCCTGTGATGTAATGACCTTGATCATGACCTCACCGAGGCCAAATACAGATGTGTATATTGAAGCAGGACAGAACTCAGGCCCACTTGAGCAAAAGGCCCATCAAAGAAATAAATCTCTCCCGAGCCCTCCCATCCAAGAATGTCCTTAAATAAGTTGGATTAGAGCTCATCACCTGGCCAGCTCTTTCATTTGAGTTCAGATAGTGGGTGGAGTGAAATGACATAGCAGACTTTTAAAGAGAGGAAAAAAATTTCATATCATTACTTCCTTTTAATCTTTTCTCATAACCATTAAATTTCAGAGCATTTCATGTAGATCTATGAAAAAGTCTATTTAAATAATTATTTTTAAAAATAATCCTTTTAATGTTTAAGCTACTTTTTAATCCAAATGACATTATAGTTGATGAGAGAGCCTAATGTTTAAATTTTCTTGTATAGCTCAAATAAATCTGATCAGACCACCAAACCTAGCTGCATAAAAATCGCTGATCTCCTAGGTAACGCTCTAACTGAGGAGAGAGAGGCAAAAGGGCTGCCTTTATCTGATGGTTGGAAGCAGAAATTCCCGTGGATATGTATCCATGACCAAGAAAGCAGGGTCCATCCTCCAGGATCCATAGATCAGAGGGCTGGTGAGAGCAGCGTTGTCTGTCTTGGAGCCTGTGGCACAGGAACAAATCAAGTCGTTCATTCTCTGCAATTTCAGGGAAAAGTCTCTTTTTAAGGATATAGGGTTCCTTTGAGAAAGATTCAAAGATCTGGCTCCTTTATGATCACAATCACATACTGTAATCAGCTTTTCAGGGACACAGATGCGTACACATTTCCCCATCAATTTAATTCAAGAGTTCAGGATATAGTTGCTACATCTGCCATGTCCTTCTAAATCTGGAAGAGGATAATAAGGGAGTACAGAACACAGTTTGTCCTCTTGGAGTTTACAGAGTAGTTAGGGAAGCCAGATTCAAGCATACATGCATATATACACACATGAACATAAATTAATGTCTATGTCCCAAATCATTCATGCATATATATACACACATGTATATGTGCACATGTATGTACATACATGAGCTGCACACATGATCTTGTGTGTGTTTATACAGGTGTTGCATGTATGCATATCTGTGTGTATGTTCAATGAACTGAATGCTTTTCCCCATGATATGTTGAAATTCCAATCTCCAATTTAATACTATTAGGAGGTGGGGTTGTAAGGAGGTAATATCATGAGTGGTATTAGTGACCTTATGACAGTTACAAAGAGCCTGCCTCCCCTTTCTGCCTTCTACCACCAAGTGAGGATACAAGGAGAAGGTAGAGATCTATAATCCAGAAGATGGGCCTTCAACAAAATGTGAGCATGCTGGCACCCCAACCCTAGCCTTCTAGTCTCCAAAATTGTGAGAAATAAATTTCTGTTGCTTATAAACCACCCAATGTGATACTTCATTGTAGCAATGAGTTTGACTAAGAAAGTATGTATGTATATTATGCATATCTATTGCTGCATCATAATCATCTCCAAACAGAGGTTTAAGACAACACTAACATATTATATGTGACACATTTCTGGGGGTTGACTGGATTTCGTTAGATGTTCCTTATTCAGCCATTCACACAGTTACAATCATAAAGTGATTGGGTCTGAAAGCATGTGAAGACCAGGCTCTCATTGCCTATCTGGTACCTGGCCTGGGGAAACACAAACATTGAGGGCTAGAACCTCTGGGGCTCCTTGGCCTCTCTATCTGTATGTATTCTTTCCACGTGATCTCTTTAGCACGAGGGTTTCCAACACAATGGCTCAGAATTGCACATCATGTATCAAGACAAAGTCAAGAGGAAGTCCTGAGACTTTGTATGATCTAACCTGGGAAGTCATGCAAAGCATTTCCATCGTCTTCCATTCATCATAGAAGTTACTAGGTTCTGGATGGTCTTAAGGGGAAGGAGAGTGGACTCAACTTTTAGATTTTGGTTGGGAGGAAAAAGTTTCTGGAAGACTGTGTGGTCCTGGAGTTATTGCTATGGTCTCAATACTTCCATATGAACTGATACCGTCATTTGTAACTTTATTTATAGCAAATCTGTACCTATTAATATTGATCAGACAATGAGTAGGATGTCAGAACAGGAAGAAAGGATGACCAGGAACCAGTGCAGTGTGGAAGGACCTCATGGGGCTAGTCAGGTTTGAGTAGAGCCTTGTGGAAGGGATGGGTTTATACAGCACAAAGGAAGCCGTCCGTGGGAAGAAAGCACCGTGGAAGGTTTGGATGCAGGAAGTAGGGCCATCCCAGATTCTAATGCGGCAGGTTTAATGTGCTTCTTCTTGAACAATCAAGCTCTTCAGTGCAAACAGAAATATCTATCCATATAATTGCAGGTCACTGTTCCCATTACATGATCTTTCTTGATTCTCACAGCAACCCTGAGAGCTCTGTGCTTCACAGGGTAGGAAACTGAGACCATGTTCATAATACAGTCTTGAGTTTAGGTCTTCTAATTCAAGTGACCTTTATTCCATACCATAGTAACCTCTTCAAAATTGACATTAGACATGGAGTAGTTCACAACTCTCCCTGGCTCCAAGAAATAAGCATGTACTTATGCAAACTCTAGCTTTGTTTTGTTTTCAAAAAGGAAAAAGACTTCATCTAGAATCTGTTAAAACTTGTGGAAGGGCATTAAATTTCATGGTGCATTAGAACCTAGAATTAGCTCAACCCTAGAATTGGCCAATTCCTTATTAGCCTTTCATCAGAACTTTGGAGTATGTAGAGTCTAGAATTTTGCTTCTTGCTATAGGTTTTATGTTGAATATTTTTAACTCATCCAAGGGTTTCCTATTCAGATGATATGGTCCTAGTCCCTTCTACCCCAAAAGGGTCTGGTTGGGAGTTCTTGTCTTATTTAAGTGCTGACAGTGTTCTCTTGTGGCTTGATATTTGTCTTAGGCTAAGAATGAACGAATAGTTGTCTCAGATTCTCCTGTTCAAACTCCCTGTTCAAAAACATGTGGGCACATGCAATAATCCTGTGTCCTGGGCCCAATGTTATCATTTACACATTTTTGTGGTCACGGGATGCCAGTGCCCTCATATTTGCTTGGGCAAGGCAGAAAAAAAGTTTGTATCAGGGCCTGCAAAGATTCCAAATTACAATACAGCAAGGTTTAGCCACTGGAGACCTGGACTGGTGTGTTTATTGCTCCTGAAACTCCCCCTGAATGTTGCTAGAACTGAAAGGAAGCAGAGGAAGTTGACGTTTTATCTCCCTGAAGATGTATTTATCATTTTGCTCACTTCAGGTCCCAACAGCCCGCACCTGGGGGTCCCCTGAGTTGAGGATCTCCTCTGTGAGGCTCTGCTTACCACTACACCCTCCCGGACTTCCTACCCTTGGCGGTTCCACGTTCCACTCCCTACCAGCTTTACCAGGAGAAAAAGCTCCACCTCACTTTCTCATGAACATTTGTGTCAGGCTAACGAAGGAACCGCAGAGACACGATTTCTTCTATCCAGGAAATCTGTGCTAAATCACTGCATCCATCCAACCTCATGAGTGCTGGCTGGTGGGCAGGTAGTGAAGAACAAGGTGTCCTCTGCACTCCTGGGGCATGGGTACAGCATGGCATACTCTTCGTTCAAATGAGGGGATCCCAAATGAGATGCACACATCACTCTGCAGGCCGTCAGTTCCTCGGGGTGTCTGTCAACGTGTACTCAGTGGAAGAGCATTCTTTCTGCTGAGACTCCTTCATGCCTGTGGGTCCTTGCTGCACGGAGATGGGTTGGCTGGTATTTAGAATAGATTGAAGCTAGATTGGACTTGTTCTGGGAAGTTGTCAGTGAGAACTGGGGAGGGTTGGGGATGAGACAGAGAGTAGAGAAGCCACAGAAACAACCAGCCATGGCCAAAGTTTCCATTCCCT